AAAATAACAGTGTTCATCCTTCACTAGTCTCGTAAAAAACCAAAAAATTTGCAGTAATAAAAGGATTTATTCACAAAACCTCATCATGATCAAAGTATTAAACACGAATCTATCAACAATGGTTAATAATGTCTACTAAGCAACAAAAAAGTCTAAGAGTAGAGTATAGCGATGTCTTTTCTTAATATAAGACGAGAGTACTACCCGTACCACTAATTATAAACAAATAAGAAAAGTTATTATCTCTCTCTATAGCATCATTAAATGCATCTAGCTCGCTAAATGAGTCTCTTTGAAACAAATTATTTTTTAAAAATTTTTTCAAGCGATTTGCTTGAACGTTTAACGCCATAGAGCAATCCTGTAACAGTCAAAACTAAGAAAAGTTAAAAAAAACCTAAAAATTTAGAAGAAAAGTAGCTGAACAAGGAAGCAAAAGAAGCAAAAACCGGAGTTAATGATAAATTTTTCCAGAGAGAAAGAATTATAATTAGACAGCTTTTCAAACCTTCTTCCTTTCCTTGCAAACATTTTTTAACCTTTCCACAGTAATAAAAACAACTATCACCATCTACGCTTATCGGTCAACATCAACAACGAGATCGCTGGGTACCGCAAAGCCCCAAAATAACAACCTTTTACAAACCCATAACAACAAACAAAAGACAAAGGCAACAAAAAAGGAAAAAAACAATATAAATTCATGTAAAATAAAAGAAAGAAAAAGCAAAGGTAGAAGAATGAAGTGGAACTTCAGGGTGAACGGTATAGGCAGATTTTTTGAAGCGAATGTACTACTGAGATTTTTTGTACCAAAACCGAGCACGAAAATCATCGCTGCCTGTCACAAAGGCTGGCATCGAAGGGGAATGAGAAAAGGTCCGTGTTGCTGCTGTGTGTCCTGAAACCAAGGCAAGTTAGCCTGCTAATCTACATTTGACTCTAAGTTTTAAAATTGGCAGGTACTATGGGTTCTTTACAACAAAAAGAGTGTGAAAATAAGTTATGATTTATAAGGAATTCTGGCGAAACAGATATACGGTCACAGAACTGAAACAGTTGAAAGGTTTGTATTGAACACTCTGAAGACCAAGCAACGATATTTTTAATGACCGGTATAAAATGCAAATAGATTCTTCAGTTGTTTTCTTGAAATCATAGCGTTCAAATTTAAAACTTATGAAGGAAAGTGGTCAACAGATTCAGACATAAACCTGATTGCGACATCAATAATTCCTTCAAAGAAATGACGACCAACGTCTCTTACGCAGTAATTAATGCAGATAATTTCAAAATCATCTGGAACGTAAAAACACGAAATAACGAACTAAGTACCTAAAGCTAGAAGGCGTTTCCGATCCGAATTCCGCGCATCCCAAGAACACAAGCTTCCAGATTTCTCATCCGGGAACAGCACTATAAATCAGAATTAATGAATAAAACAGTTTATTTCCCTAACTTTTAAGGTTGCTGCCATCGTAAACAAGAAAAGGCTATTTAAAATGAATTTCCAAAAGAACTATACAGTAAATTCAAGTTGTGGTAAAAACATCTAACAAGGTGATAAAAGTGAAAGGTTCTTGTTCACGATTTAGAGGAACCACTATGACACTTTTACACTAAAGTTTCAAGGCCTAAGTACTATGAAGGTTTGAAAAGCTAAAAATTAGAAAAACCGGAAACAAGGAGAAAATCACCATAATCTTCATTGTGATTAAACCAAGCTTGTATAGGATATTCTTGCGCTCCAGTAGCACCTGCGCCAGTATATGCTATCAAACATCTGTTTGTTGATAATTCCCAAAGTTTGACAATACTATCCATACCAGATGTAAGGATGTACTAACAGAAAAACAGAATTATAAGAGTATGGAAGTTAGTTGGGCAAAAGAGGGTCATAATAGAATGGCTTAAGAAGTTTTCGTGCCTACAATTAAAAGGAAAAAGAAAAACAATAAAGAAGGTGTGACTCATATCAAGAAAGAGGAACAAAACTCTCTGAATTTCATATCTAAAGCAACTTCGAAAATTATCCGCCAAAAATAACTGAAAATTTTGCTTCATTGAATCAAAAGTCTGAGGGTAAACCTTTCCATTTCTTGTAAATGTCGCACTGGTAATGTCCGCACCATCGTGGGCTCTTTGAAACGTCTCCACACATCGGTTAGAGATTCCATCCCATACCTTTACATCCCCATCTTTAGATCCTGATACATAAAGACGAGCATTCTCAGAATAATTTACCTAAAATTCTATTTTGCTAGGGCAGCTTCCAGTCAAAACTGTTCAAGTAATTATCAGAAGCCATACATCCGTGACTGTACTACGATGCTGATCTGTAGGAATCGAGCAGACGTAACACTGTTGTGTTTCTATATTGTAAAGACGAAGGGTAGGATGTTTTGTAGCCACTAACAAGAATTCACCTCCTGGATGAAAAGAGAGGGCAAATATCGGCTCTACTTCCTTGAATTGAAAAATAAGGGGAAAGAGCATTGTCATAAGCAAAAGAAAGAGGCGAGAAATAATAATTCAGCGAGTATAAAACAACAACTAACAAATATAGTTTTCATTGCCCTTTTAACAGCTGTCTTTGAGTAATCAAACATCTTCACAGTTAAATCATTAGCTCCGGAAACTAAGATTTGTTCCCGCGGATGAAATGCCAAGCAAGTTACTTCCTTTAACAGAATAACGATTAAATCTCAGATACACTGAAGAAATATTTTCTTTTTAATTTGCCCACTCTAAGTACACACAAAAGGAAAAGACAATAATTTGTAAAAGCGATGGTTTTTCTTACATCGACATGATCATAAAGGGTACGTATAACAGGATGCTGGGCATCAGGACCATTTTCTGCAAGCGTCACTTCTCCGCTAAACTGACAAAAGTTCTTCATTGGAAAGAAATTTGAAGCAATTCAAGGCAAAAAACTTAAAATGTATCCCAGTTCGCGAGCGAAGACATCGTTTGGGAGCAAGATTTGAGAAGAAAATGGAATAAATACGTTTATACTGCAAAGCAGCCTACCGAACTTCACGGGCGATGATTCTTTCAACATCCATTATCTTTATAGAACAGTCTGCAGATCCAGTGGCCAGAAGACTCCCTGTAATCCATAAGCTAGATATAAATTAAGCTAAATGAGTCGTCTGAAAAATTCTTGCCTTTTCTCAAACAGTAAAGGAACAAGAGTACATTTCATTAACCTAATAAGTCGAAACTAATGAAAACAGCAATAATAATTATAATAGTGATAATAATAAAAGCAATAATAATGTTAATATTTATATCAGTGACAATATAAATATAGGTGTAAATAGTAGCATAAATATAAATATTAATATTGACAGCAAAACAATAGAAAGAGTAAACGAGAAGTCATTTCAAACCATCTGAATTGAAAGCTGAAGCTCTACAAGCCGCCTTGTGAGCAGTAAGATAAATCGTTTCATACATGCAAGGCTCAGGAGATGTGGGTTCTATATCTGCATCATATTCCAAATCCAAACCCATAGACAGATTTTCCAACTAAAACAAATCCAAAAATAGAAAAAAGGTAACGCCGCAGTTCACATTACAACTTAATAACAGAGCTCCGCAATGAGAAACTAATGATGAGACTCTTAAAAACACTAGCCTGTATGACGCCATCCTTTTCTTTCGGGTCGGGGTCGTCAACGAACTGCTTGGCAAGAGATACAAGTCGGAAAAGTTTGTCGGATGGAGGAGGGGGTTGCGCAGAGCATCCTATAGCTGTCGCTAGATTAAGAGCCAGTTGTTGGTGACCGTCGTAAAACAACTGCCTAAACGAGTTTTCTAATATTTTATTCCTAAGATTAGCAAATCTGAAAAATTATAGTTACGGCACAAAATCATTAGCTTGATTACAGTTGAAAGTCATATATTAGTTAGATGACAACTTAATCTACCCAATGATAAGGCGATACATATAGTCTCGATCTTTGATATCCGGCTTCATAGTGACGTTGAAATTATAAGTGATTTTTGAACTGCTAATTCACTAAATTAAGAATAAATTCAGGACCTAAAGAAATGAATCAAATAACGGCAAAAAAGCCGCATACACATTTATCACAGCACTTGGTAGACTCTAACGGATATATTTCAATCTAAATTCTAAACTGGTAATCTGCTGTCAGTATTTATCCCTGGCTTTTGCCACATTTTTTAAAAACTACAAAAGGCAGTTTAAACAACAGCGGTATTTATCCCTTCTCATGTTGACTCTTTTCACAAGATTCAGTTTCGACAAGCACTTGTAAATGCTGATTAATTTGAGAAGAGGTTAAACATCATTGTTTCACGCCCTTCGAAGCATAATATAAACAATGTTGTCAGTCACTGTAATACTGAACTTCTGTCCAAATCTCCCCTGTGTTTTAAAACTATATAGCACAAAGCTGTCATATTCAGATGCCTCCCTCAGCACAAAAGATTGGTGCAAATATGAGGCAAAACTTCACAGACATTTTGTGAATTCAGCGCTTTCAGAAATCGCTACAGCATACGGGCACACAGTTACTCAGGTGGCGAAAAGTTTGACTTTCCTGTCCAATTACAGCAACTTGCAACTCTGTTTGACTACTTTACAGTTCTATCCTTTTTTTGATCTTAACTTTACAAAGCCTTTTTGCACAACAATATTCATCTCCGCTTTGTTTGCTCATTAAGCAAACAACAAATGATACAGCCATTAATTAGGTTTTTTAAGAAGATTTCGACGAACAAGTAATCACCAAGGTTCCGGCGTTTGATAAAAGTATATGGAAATCTTTTAAAATAAGAACGTAAAAGAGGACTGAAACGGTAACTTTTTAACGGAGGAAACGCGAAAGCCAAACAGCAGTACGGCAGAAAAAATTAAAATAAAAAAGGAACCAATTTAAAACGTCATTGAGGTTATAGATTCCAGAAATCACCTCTAAACAACAACATTCTACAATGTTTCTGAAAAAGATTTCACTTATTCCAAGTATAAATCCAGTAATGACAAAGACGTATAAGTCAAAGAAGATGAAAAGGAAAAAATTCTACTAACGGTAAAGAGTCCAAATGAAAAAAATGATCGGAGTTCTCCATTCACAACTGTGGAAGAAGAGCGTTCGAACGTTGTGGCGACCGACTGCTGAAAAATAGCAAGTAAAGTTCGCCCAACGGGGCAGCAACGCGGGAAAACTGGCTGTACAAATACTGAGGCGGAAAATACGAATGCGCCATAAGGCTGACAGCTTCAGGGTGCCGCTGTATACAGCGAACGACAGGGAGGCTCACAAGAGGTAAAATCTCTTCGACTTGGGGGCGGTCGTACCATGTCTGCACCGTCATTGTGTTGCCTTTAAACACTTAGTTACGGGCATTCACGATCAACAACATTCGTGGAAATATCCTGCCATTGTTCCGGTTTGTGTTTCCAAATTTCTACTTTCGTAATTTCGAAGTTTAGCCAGTTCTTTCATTCGTCATCGTCTTTGTGCTGTACCAAAACGTCTTCTTAACGAAACGGTTCATTTGTGTGGGATTTCTTACCATGTGCAGCAAGTGTCGATTTTCGTTCTTCAGGACTATGAAACACCAAACAGAGCCGGACCAAAATCCATTTTCTACGTTCAGCATCAGTGCAATGGTTGATAAATATCAACAATCTCTTTCGTCAACAGGTGGTTGAATTATTTGTTGTTAGGAAGTAGTATTGTACGACTAGATTATGTCTGCTGTACTTCATACAGTTGCTCTTAGCGTTTTAAGTAGTGAATGAAACTAAATTTCAAACTTTCATCAACAAATGCCGTACTCCCGAGTACGTTTTTTCCCATCCGCTGGGGAACGGAACTATCCATTAGTTTCATTGGTTGCGACTATGTTTTTAGCTTGAAAGATTATTTAACACTTTTAGGACTACATCTTCAACCTCATCAGGTTACGGGTGTCAACATGATTTTGTCGTGGTACTGTAACAGTCACGGAGGAATAATTGCTGATGAGATGGGACTGGGCAAAACATGTCAAGTTATTGCAGCATTACATGTTTTGATCAGTCGGAATGAAGAGGCCCGAAATTTGATTATAGTGCCTTTGTCTGTTGTAGATCACTGGGAAACGGAACTAAAACGGTTGTTTTCAGCTACATTTTTCTTTTTGTTTTTTTCTTTTGTGAAAACAGCAGGATTCTTCAATGAACCAAGTCTCGGCTTCAGGTTTGGCTTAGGAAAACTTCGTTTTGTCAGGTATACTGGTCATAGTGAAGAGCGCCGTAAGCTGAGAAAGGATTTGGAAATTTGTGAATGGAATACCTTGTTGACAACGTACCAAGTATTTGTTCAGCTGTAATTTGTATGAACTGGCATTTGTTTTTTATTCTACTCTGAAGTTTTCTTGCAGTATGTGATAAAAGATGACAGTTATTTCATGGACAAGTTGAAATTCACGGCTTTGGTTTTTGATGAGGCTCACCGTTTAAAATCTTCAGAGTCCCTTCTGCATCAAATTGTTAGGAAGGTAATTTAACTCATGGTTTAATCTGGATAGGAATTGTATGCAGATTTGATAGGTTTTTATTATCATTCCTACGGTTAAATGTGTTTTAGTGGAGGAAGCGAGGTGTATTAAACTCAGTAATTTTTCTTGCAGATAAAAGTGGATTGGACAGTGCTGCTCACTGGAACTCCGGTCCAGAATAACCTTCGGGAGTTATATTCTCTACTAGTACTGGTTGACAAGAGGAGGTTTCATTTAGGGGAATTTGACGCTTTTTTGATGAAGTATGGAAATACTGATTCCG